TTATTATTATTATTATTATTATTATTATTATTATTATTATTATTATTTGGGTTAACAATCGCCACTGACAACGTCTCCCGACTCTCTTCTCCCTCCCGCAAATATACAGGGAAATAAGTAACAGTGCTCTGCAGCAGCCGTCGGGCGGGCTGCTTCCCCCTCCTTGAGGGCTCGATGGGGACGGGGGGTGAGCAGCGGGTGGCTGTCCTGTGGTGGGGCCAGGTTCCTGCCGGAGGGCTGGTGTGGGGGATCGGGGGCGACCCGGGCTGCCGCAGCCTTCCCCCAGCACCATCACCCGCACCTCCCCGGTGGAGCCGGGGCTGCAGCCGCGGCTGTAAGGAGCCTCTTAATAAACCTCCGGGTCGATGATGCATCGCTCGCTAGTGAATCTTCGCAGGTTTATTTATTTTAACTAAATCGCCCGAATGGATCGCAGCTCTATGTTGACTCTGGTGAGAGGCGAGGCGGGGAGCCAGGGGCGGCAGAGCTGACAGGTCGCCCGGGGGTTGCGGGGTTTTGTGCGTGGAGTGACTCTCTGCAAACGCCCGCCGCCCTCTCCGGGAAAGGTTCCCCCCGCCCCGGTGACCGCCCCCTCCCCTTCCTCCTCCGCCTCCCCCCGGCCTGGCCGCGGGCGCCCTTGTAAGGAAGAGCTGAGGGCGGGCACGGCCGGAGAGGAGCATCCCCGGCCAGGCCGCCTGGAGCGGCCGCCGCGCAAGGCTTGAGGGGACGAGGGAGGGGAAGGTGAAGACTGAGTGTTTCAAACCGGTGGGAAAGGCCAGACAGTGGGTTCCTCAAGTTGACGGTCACTAGAGAGAGGTGAGGGTCAGAGCTCTCCCCGCCGGGCCCAGGGGAGCGCGAGATTCCCGGGGCGGGTCCCCCGTCTGCATCAGGGGCAGCTGAGAAGGGAGCGGCCGCCGGCCGCCTCTGCCACCTCCGTGTGCATTGCTGATGGCAGAGCCAGTCCAGCGCTTCTCCTGGCCGCTGAACTTCACAGCGTTTCTCGTGTATATTCACGCTCACATCAGAGTCGAAGTTTGGGCCGCGGCGATGCGGGAGGCTGGGGGCGTCGCCCCGAGCCCGCGGATGCGCTGGTTCCGCACGGCCAGGGCGCCCAGATTGACGGGAGCAGTGCCCGCCCGCCGAGTGCCTGAAGCCTTTGGGTGCCTTGCAGGTAAACACAGCAAACTGCCTGGGTATAAAAGCAGCCTCTGTTTTTTAAAACCACGCGGAGAAGTTGCAGACCACAGTCAGCAGGAGCGGTGCCACTGGCCTTCCCCATTGGGCGCCGTGCCTGCTTTTTGTCACCTCTCGGGCATCCCCGGAGCCGCAGCCCGATCCCGACGGACGACAGCCCTCTCCCCCAGGCGGCCGCGCTCCGCCAGGAGCGGGGCCGGGCGAGGCCGCGGGTCGGGCCGCCGGGCAGCGCCGCACTGCTGCCCGGCACCACGCACCGCTGCCAGCCCCCTCTCCTGGAGCGCTGCTCCCTGACGTCAGATGTGTGCTTAGGCTTTTGTTCAGTTAAAAATAGTTTCATGCAGCAGTTTACCTGCCGTGGGTGGCGGCTGTCCATGGGCTGTGCCACGGAAGCATTTTCTGGCGGAATCAATCATTTCCTTCGCCCTCGGATCTTTGATCTCTGTACGTAGATTAATTATAGTTGTATGCAGGAAACTGGCAGTCTTCTAAACCCAGCATTTTGCTGCCTGAAACACATGAAAAGGGAAAGTTTCTTTGCAGTCTAGCTGTAACAGGGCTACGTTACCAAAGCTAAATATTTTTTACAGTGACCCAATGAAGTGTATGTACTGTCAAAAATTATCATTACTCCAGTAGTCTTTACTTTTTTTTTTTTTCTCTTTGTATCTCGTTTATGTCCGTTTCGGTGTTATACTTGCAATTGCATATTATCCTAGTAAAATAATTGCTTTATAGCAGATTACTTGCAGCGGACATTTCTTCTTCTTCTTCTTCTGGTTCTATGGAGTTATTAAAAAGTAATGGATGCCAAGACAATCAAGGAATATTTCCTAATTAAAGAGGAAAAATGGAACTGTCACGATTTTCCACTGTTTGTGAGCCAGTTCATGTGCTCAGATTACACACACCTTTACATCACACCCAAACGTATGTACTGTATGGCTATGGTGCATACGCACACATGTACACACACCCCTCTGCCACAGTTAGTTCCTATTTTTTACAAAGGTTAAAGAATAAATTGAAATGGAAGACAAATGAATTGACAGGAAAATGTATCACTTTTTTTCCGCTTTAATTTCTTCCCACATTGTAATGAATCTCTGAGCCTTCAGCTAGGTGGGCAATTAACCACCCAGTGCCTGCTGCCCTATAACCATCACCCCGCTGTATAGTTTATGGGGTTGAAGTTTTTTAACAACTCCGTATGCTTATTTTATTGTTGTGAGTGTGTGGGATACGTAATCTCCCGCATGTGCAGATTTATCAGATCTTTATAGCGGATGTATAATTTTATAGTTTATCTTAGCCCAACTGTTCCTGGGTGACAAATCTCTCCGTCGCAGAGAGCACTGTCCTCATTTCAATACTATTTCGTTCTGGGAGCGTGCACGGTAATTCTTTACATCGAAATTGCTTCCCCTCTGGTTCCTATATTTTAATTTAGTAAAGGACTGATTAGCTGTGTCTTTAAAAGGGCCAGGTCTGCGCTGGCTCGCAGCGTCACCTCTCACCTCTCCGCAGCCCCGGGCTGGGGTCACTGCGGGGACGCGGCGGGGGAGCTGGCAGTGCTGCTGCGGCTCCCGCTCCCGCCGCGCCTACCTGCGCACCCCTCTCTGCGCCGCGCAGCTCCCCACGCCGCTGCTGAGCTGCTCCTGGGAGCAAATCCCCCGTCCCCCCCTTTGGAATGGGAAGAGCAGCCAGCCCGCCTCTGCCTCTGATACACCGCTGCTGGCGTGAATCATCGCGGAAACAACGGGAAGATGCAGCTCTGCTAGGCGAAAATAATTGTTTGGTTTGTTTTAATTCACAGCGACCTGATTTAATGGTACCCTTTCCTCTGACTTCGAGGGAAGGCCGGCCGGGGTCCATCGTGCTCTCTAAAGGCTTCATGTAAACTTCTACATTTTGAAAGAATAACTTCAAAAACCTGTGTTTGATTATATTCAGACGTGTGCCCAGCTCACATCGACTTGTGGATCCATTGAAGGTGTAAAGATCCGTTGATAACATGCAGGTCAAGTGTCCCTAAATCAGCAGATTATCCCTTCTCTGCCAAATCCTGGAAGTAGTTTAACGAGGGGAAAAATATTTTTCATCTGTAAAAGAGGGATGATTCATATCAAAGAGGAATTATATTTTAGTAGGAGAGGCTACAATAAAAATCTCAGATCGCTTCAGAAAAGGTTTCACTCTGAACAAATGTTTCGAGTATGTCGGATCCTCATAAAATTACACTGTAGACTTTATTCTGACGATTACTGGAAAACATGCAGTGCATACAAAAATACGAGCAAGAGAGGGTGGAAATGAATTTTTCGTAATCTATGAACAGTGAAAGGAGCAAGTACGTTTTTAATAGTTGTGATCTTTATCAAATGATCGATGTAGATAAAGGCACGCACCTAATATTCAGGAAAACACAAATAATTTTAAGAAGTTACCTTTCCTTGACTGTACCGGTGAATTTACAAAACTGGTGTGGTGTAACCGCTTTGTTTATTTTTCTAACGTCTACCCAGATTCCAGCAATCCGCAGAGCAGTATCAGCTTTTTCCATGTGTTTATCATCGAGGTTGCAACAGGATTCGCCTCAATTGTTCTGCCTTTCTTGTGTTTTCCTTTCTTCCTTCTTCTGCATCTCACAGATATATTCACTTTTTTTTGCAAAAATAAACAGAGGATTTTTAACAGCAATTTAAGATGGTAATGGTTACTGATCCCATTCTTTCCATCATAATCTTCAAGTGGTTTAAGATTAATGATAGGAGGTGTTTTAGCAAGGAGTGTGGGTTTTCTTCTCCAAAGACCATCGCTATGATAATTTACTTAAGATGTTGACGAGACTGTCAGTAAGACTAATTTGGTATTAGGCTGCGCTCTAACAACTGTAAGTAAGCATTTGTTGGTTTTTTTAAGCACATTGTATTTTTGAATGCCTTACTATGAATATTGTTATTTGGTCTCCGCCTGATGGATTCGCAACTGAGATGATTCCCCTCGCCTTTGTTCCAAGAAAGGTGTCTTCTAATATTCTGATATTCCACCCTCCACCATTCCCTTTCACGCACATTTTTTACAAGAAAATAAATTTGAGCAACTACTGTCTTTGTCCAGCAATACCTTCTGCACAGCATTGTTTTGGCTGGACTCTATCTAGGCACATCCCTGAACCAAAGGGACTAGACACAGGTTTGAGTGCTGGGTTTGTGTGAATTTTTGTTGTTGTTGGGCAAAATAACCCTCTAAACAGTAAATATGGAAGTGTATTACCTCGAGGTACGAGGAGGCTGGGGTGCCTCCTTAAGCGCGGGCGATGTATGACGTATTGTTGGCTCCCGAGCCGAGATCTGCCTTGGCCGACCGACCCGGCACCCCGCGCCCCCCCGGCCGGAGCGATCCCCCCCCCAGGCCGGGTCCCCGCACTCCGTGCTCTTGACCGGCTTCCCTCGTTCCTCCCCGGAGAAGCCGGGACCGGAGCCCCTCGGCGGAGCCCGCCCGGGCAGAGGGCTCGGTGCGGGCACGGCGGGCAGGCACGCATAGGTGAGCGCAGGACGGCGGAGGCAGGCGCGGAACAGCCTGCTCGCTCGGAGGGAAAAGTCTGGGGTGAGAGCCTAGCAGACTGGTCGATTTTCCCCTTCTGTCGTGCTTTCAATAAATATGAAGCCGTGGCCTTACCTAGAAATTACCAGGGTCATGGGACACCCGTCTGGCAGTGCTTTATTGCCTTTTTCCCCCTGCGCCCCAGGCCAGGCACGCAGAGGGGGCGCGGGTAGCCACATTCGGGGGTCGGCCCGTGGGCACCACCCGTGGGCACCGCACGCGCTGCGGCCGGGCCCGGGGCTCGCGGGGTGAACGGCGGGGGCTACAAGAGCACGTGCCACTTCCTTGCCGGCCGCCCCTCTTCGCTGTCGGCAGCTCTGCGCTCGCACAGAAAGGAAAAGGGCGGCCTCGCAAACAGTTTGTGTTACGGTCGCCCGGGCCGAAAGGGAGGCGCGAAGCAGGGGGCACTTTACCTCCGCCTGCGCGGCCCCTGCGCCGCGCGCTCCTTCCCCCGGCGCGCAGGGAAGCGCGCAGGGAAGCGCGCAGGGAAGCGCGCAGGGAAGCGCGCAGGGAAGCGCGCAGGGAAGCGCGGTCCGGGGGCACCTCCGCGGAGGAGCCGCGCGCCGACAGCAGGGGGCGCTCCGACGTTGCGCCTGGGAGCCCGCGCTGGCGCGCCGCGCGCCCGCACACGGACACGCGTGTGCACGGACATGGAGCACACACAGGCACACACACGTGCGCGCACATACACGCACACAAACACATGCAGGCACACACATGTGTACACGCGTGTGTACACGCACGTGTAGGCACAGACACACGTGCACACACACAGGAGCACACACGCGTGTAGGCACACAAGCGCGAGCACACACACACGTGTACACACGCACACGCGGGTGACAGACACACACACACAGCGTCACCCCCTCCGGCCAGGTGTGCGCGTTACCGGGCGCTGGGCGCCCCGCACGGATGTCTCCGTGTCGCTCTCCGTGTGCGCGCGTAGTATACATTATGCAACTTATTAAATACAGCGATGAATTGTCAACATTTTTTTCGCATGTTAGTTCCGCCGATCCGGGCAGGATTTATTTTCAGGTCTCGGGTCCCGGAGCTATAATGCGTGATTTCTTTGCCTTAAATAAAATTGGTCAAATGTTGACAACCTTTAAGCCGATCTAACACTCAAGATTACTGATGGGAAACTAATGAGAAAATATCAGATCGTCCGGCCCGGGGGCTCCTAATTAAATCTTAGCTGATTGAAAAATAAAAGCGGGTTCGGGGGCGTGGGGGAGGAGGGAAGAAGCTCCGGGCTGAACTTTAGCTCTCATTTTACGTGATATTTCCCCAGCCCATCCCTCCCTCCGCGCTTCCCCCCTCCCTCCCTCTGTAAAAAGTCTAATATTATTTCGCTGGTTATTTCGAGAGATCCGAACGCGGCTATCATTCCTTGCCCGGTAAATATTAAGGCCTTTAAGCAACGTGATTTAACTAATTAGAAAATTTACATCATTAAGTTTCAGGGAGAGAAAAAAGGAGAAACAAATCTGTCAGTCATTTTAAAAGAGACAGGCCCTATTGAAGTGTGAAGAAATCGGCTCTAATTCAAAAAGGCAATCGGGCAGAAAAAGCCCTCAACATTACCCTGCTAGTTATTAATCAGAAGGGGTTTCCCCCTCTCTCCTTCCCTGTAATGGTAAGAGCTGAAGCACATCGTTAGTTTCTCCCAAAGCTACAGCACAGTTTCCATTCAGGTTTTTTTACCACTCTTCCATGTCCCACATTAATAGCGGGTATTTGTCCATTCAAGGTTCATAGATTTGAAAATGTTTCCGAGTTGGAAAGCCGCAGCAGCAAGAAATAAGAAAAAAAAAAAAAAAGCTCCCGAACTCGGAACTCACGCCTCAGCCAAATATAAGGACTTCGCTGCCCCGTCCCCCGCCCCCACTAACGGGAAAATAAAGCAAACCTGGTCGGTGAGAACCCGGTTATGGCTTTGTTTTCATCCCCTGCCTTGCACCCTCCATTTCTAAACACAGACACAAGCCTTAGAGGAAAGCAGCCGTCGTTGTCCCCCCGCTCTTTTTTTTTTTCTTTTTTTTTTCTTTTTTTTTTTTTTTTTTTTTAAGGGACTGGCTGTGTTTAGTGCCACGCATCAGGCTTAAGCAGAACAATACAAACTTGAGTGAAAATCGGAGTGATCGGGCTACTGATTCCAGGTCCTTAACGAAGTGGTGCGGGACCCTGATGGCCGGTGCGCCGCGCGGAAGGACGAGCCGGCGGTCCCGGCTTGGGGAGCACAGCTTGGGTGGTGTAACAGGGAGCTCGGGTGGTGGTGGGAGAAATGTAGCAGCTTGGTCCAAACCACAGAGAGGGTTACATCTCTCTCTCGCTTTCTCTTGTCTCCTCTTTCAAACGCGCTCTCTAATCCTCCCCTTGCAACTGTTCACAGTGGACTATAGTATAAATAATAAATACATCCTACTCTGCGTTTTCTCTCTCCTAATCTCGGAGAATCTGACAGTTGCTTTAATCAAAGGAGTTTACACTGGTTCTAAAGGAGTTTGCACTGGTTCTTCATGGAACTAACTGAATGAATTTTAAACATGTTTCGGACAAAACAAGGGGATAGGGGCCTATTTCTGATCTCACGGCCCGGGGACGATTTCTCCTGCGGCTCGAGGAATTAATCCCGTGTAAATGTGGTTAGGATCAGCCTCCTGATGGGGATTTTACTTGGCAGTAGCCTGTGAAGACACAGTATTTTGGCAAGGAAAAAAAAAAAAAGCGGCTCTGCCAACCCTATTCCGGCTCCCATTCATTTGCGTCCCAGGGCTAACTGGTAGTCATCTCTGTATGTATGTTTACAGAGATGTAAGGTCTTCACCAGGACCCGACTAGCGCCAGGTCTGCTTAAAGGGTGAGTGCCGGACGGGCAGGCGGGCGGCTCGCTGTCCTCCCCAGGGACTCCCGGCCGCCGCGTCCTCGGCTCAGCACCCCCAGCCTCTCCGAAAGGGGGAGCGAGTATGGCGAAAGAAGTGCTCCTAAACTGAAGCGTTTCTCCGTTCCTCCGTAAAACCAGATGAAAACCCGCCCTCGAGCCCGGCGGGTGCGCGGTAAGGCAGAGTTCCCCGACACAGCGAGAGGAGCTGATCGCAGTACGAAATGCAGAGGGGAGGGCAGAAGAGCCTGCGCCCTCCCGCCCCTTTGCATCCGTTTGTCTTGCAGTTATTCAAAATGATTGAGTTTTCTGAAGAAGGTTCTTTAGAGAGAGAACAAAACCAGCAACAACCTCTTCCTCCAAAAACAACAAGAATATCAACCTGTCCACTGGCAAGGCTTCGGAGCTTAGAGGCATTATAGTAAAATTTATGGCGTCCTTAACAACTCCCAATAAAGGCATTAAAATTCCCTTTAATTGAGAAGACATTGATTTTTAACTCTGGAAAGAACGAACCCGTAATTTAATTGCAAGCTTTCACCGACAGAGCAGCATCTCAGGGAGGCCACATTCCATCTTTAATAGAGCCACTTTATGAAGTGATAAAAACAAAGAAAACCTGACAAACAGAGACAGTTCCAACTGCGCAAGAAAAGTTATCTGCTTCCCCTTTCCCTCTTCGCAGCTCCAAACTATCGCGCTCTTCTCTCCCCCTTCATCCCCCAGTCACAAAACACAAGTGTAAAAGCAAAGGGTTTGGGGTCCAAGGGAGAAGCAATAGTCAATATCTTAAATAACGATTTGCTTTTACTAGGCAAGGAATGATGCCAAGAGTTTTAAGGGAACATTTTCACAAAATGGTAGCCTCTTCTGAACAGGAAACTAATCAGATAAAACTTCCTTACTCTTCCTTGTTCGTTACAAAAATCATTGCTAAAGGGAAGGAAAGGGAAATCCCTTTCTGTCTTATTTCAGTATCGGTTTTTGGTATTACAGAAGAGTAAAGAAGTTTTTGTTTGGTGGTTTTTCATTGATCAGTCACTCTGAGCTAATGTAATTATCCTCATCAATAGAAGGCTGCAGAGAGAATCATTATGTGGGTGACATTGATAAATGATCACCCAAGAGCTGCCTTTTCTCTTGGGCACCCCCACATATGACCCTCCCACATACACAAGGTAGCCATAGAAACACCTTGAGATCGTCAAGCACTGCTGCAAATGGGAGAATGCGGAAAAAGAGAGAGAAATCCAACTTCACACACTTTCTGTCCCTGTTGAAGCCTCCTTCCCATAGCACGGAGCCACTGAGCCGGGCTCCGCTCCGCTGTCCTGCACCGTGGGCACGCAGCCGGGGCCCGGCCCCGCGCCCTTTCACGGCACCATACTAAGTATTGGGGGGAGGGGGAAGTCTTATGGGGTTTGCCTCTGGCTTTTTTTGATCTGTTTTTTCACTTTCTTTCTCTGTAAAAATTAAGCCATGAGGTTGCATGTACCAAACGTATTCTACGCGCATTGCATAACCCCCCAATTTGAAAGTCGCTCTTGGAGATGCGCAGCCACAATATTCACCCCGTCCCCAGTAGCGCGACTCTTAGAAAAATGATTTAACCCAAAGTAGTAGCAGCGATTTTTTTTAGTCACAGGACTATACAGGAAGATTCTGTGTTTCTTACGACAGCAAAGATTAATTTTTTTTTCCTCTGGCCGCAACCCTCCTTTTTATGCAAGCAAATTCTAAAATATTGAGAGCAGTAATTGATTCATAATGATCCCCAAATCCATGCAAGGAATGGGGTGAGGGTGAAGGTTTTTTGGTTTTTTTTTTGTTTTTTTTTGGTTTGGGTTTTTTTTTGTGTGTGGGGGGTTTTTGTTTGTTTTTGGTTTTTTTGTTTGGTTTTATTATTATTATTATTATTATTATTATTATTATTATTATTATTATT